GAGAAAATCAGCTGTTAAACAGTTTTCACTGAAGTGTGACAATAGGCCATGCATATACACATATTCAGTCATTCATTCAAGGAATATATGCATTAAGAACAATATTTTGAGATATGAACTGATAATTTTTCTTCCTCTATTTTTCCCTTTCCCTCTCAACATTCAAGCTTATAGCAGGCTCTAGGCTTCCTTGCCTAGGAGAGGTTTATGGCAAGGTAGCTTCCTGGCTTTTGTTTTCCCAAACACCTAAATTCTGGGACCACAAATTCCCAGGGGAACTGACCAATTATATTGTCCTGAGAAACAAAGAAGAACTTGTTTTCCCCTCTGCCAGAGCAGATAGAGAGTCCCCAGAGATGAAGGCAGAAGAGAGGAGAAGAGGGTACTGAGAGGAGAGGGTCTGCACCCAGTTTCCCAGACATACTGATGAAAGGAGTGGCTGTGGATGTGTCTACACCATGCACATCCTCAGCCCAGATTCTCAACCCAAAGTCTGGCATGAGGCAGCAAAGAATCACTAAACCACAATGGCTTGCAAGGATAGGAACAACATGGCAACAACTGACCAAACATCAGATGGGATACCCCACATGCACACACAAACACTACCCTGAGTGTCTGTGTACCATGCAACCTGAGCACCACCCTGGGATTATATCACATCCTGAAGAAGCAAAGGGCCATGAGGAAATCCAAGAAGCACTAAAGTTACATTTGTTTCCCACCAGCAAGGAAAATGGCGACTCGGAATCAGAATTAGTTTTCTAGAAAGCGGTTATATCTCTTGCACCCCTAATTGCATAAACTGACATTCATAACTGCTATACAAATACCGAGAACCCACTATGTATAGGGTTAGGCAAAGATGGGGTGGGGAATATAAAAGTCAATCAAGACATGGTTAGCCAAGGCATCTATAGCCCGGTAAGGGCAAACATGAAGAACCGTAGTTACCATTTATCACACATCACCTGTGTGCACACCTTGTCCTACACTCTTTGTAAATAGATTACATTTAATGGAATCCTCCTCACAACATGACTTTGAAGTTCAGAGGAGGCAAGGGACTTGGCTAAGGATGCATACTAGTAATTGTTGGGACTAGGAGATGAACCGAGATACACCTAACCCCAAGTCCATTTTCATTCCTGAAGCTATAACTCCCTCCCACGGAGAGGTCACTCCATGCTATCCTTTGATAACCCAATGTTCACTGGACATAGACTCTGGTTCACATTTTCTAAGAGCTGGGATAGGGTAGTGTCAAACCAACCTCTTCTAACCTGGTGTTCAATGGCCAGGGGTCCAAGGTTGGGAGGAGACATCAGCCAAACTGACTCCCCTGACCACAGCACCTCTGACCTTGACTGTATCTGTCAAGCTATGTCAACTAGCTCCTCTCAACAGTCCAGATGTCCATTACCATTCACACCATCAACATGTACAGCACAGAAGGGACAGAACTGATTTTGGGGGGAAATCCCAACTTATCTATGTGCAAAAGGAAGAATTTGGGGGCCAGCCCAGTGGCGCAGCAGTTAAGTTCGCACATTCCGCTTCGGCAGCCCCAGGTTCGCCAGTTCAGATCCCGGGTGCAGACATGGCACCACTTAGCAAGCAATGCTGTGGCAGGCATCCCACATTTAAAGTAGAGGAAGATGGGCACCGATGTTAGCTCAGGGCCAGTCTTCCTCAGCAAAAAGAGGCGGATTGGCAGCAGATATTAGCTCAGGGCTAATCTTCCTCAAAAAAAAATAATAAAAAATTTTAAAAAGGAAGAATTTGGTTATAGGCAAAATGGAAATTTTTCTTATAGGGAAAAATCTCACAGAGCTGTTTTGCTTTGAGATGCAGACACATAACTTGGTGCCTAAGAAACTATTTTAAATTCTTGTCTGAAGCTTCCTAGAAACAATAAAAGGAAAATAAGGTGATTCTGGCATTGAAATGTTAATAGTTTTTCCTTAAGTATTAATCTACTGAACAAATGTTGAGAATGAAAGAAGCAGACATATAAATGCTGTGAGAGCCATGATTTATATAATTTATATTGCTGCTTCTGCTATTTGATCCTGGGCAAATGACCAAACCAACTCAAATCCCAAAGAGAAGCATAGTGAGCCATAGAGAGAAGTAGAAAACACAGAGAAATGTAAATTATACGGGACTAATGTCTCTTCTTTTGTCTTTTTCTGAGGAATAAATCTCTCCCCATTTGGGATGATTATATAACCATCTAACTTTCATTTTCTTATATACAAGCTGAACTTCAGAGCTGAGGACACTCAGAAATCATTTGGGCCAATGTCCTATCTCGTAAAAGGGAACATTTGCGATTCCAAGAGGTTAAGAGACTTGTCCAATGCCATGTGTTCATTAGAACAAATAATATTATTTCATTTCAACTAAGTGGGAAGGGTACTGACCTAGGAGGGAGAAAACCAGGATTCTAGGTCCCACTCAGTCATGAATGAGTATGTTTAGAAAAGTGTTAGATTAGATGGTTTTGAAAAATCCTTCTCTCTCTGAAGGGGCTATAATTTTGTGAACATGAACATCAGCAGTTTTTTGATTTTTTATTTTTATAAACTCAATACCTTTCTCGGCAGTTATGATTAAGAGGCAATATGTATAGTAGTTATGAGTGTGGGCTTTAGAGTCAGACTTTCTGCCTTGCGATCCCAGCTCCCACATTTACTTGTGGTGAAAGCCAGAACAAATCCGGTAATCTCTCTACTTCATCTGCAAAATGAAGACTGTAACAGGACCCACCACACAGAGCCACATAATGATTAAAGGAAAGAACACGCATCAAGTATTCAGCACAGTGCATGGCACACGGCAACTGCTCAGTAAACAGAGATTGCCGTTAATACTATCATAAAGGAACCAGAGTTGGTGTATTTGTGTAGGTTACAAGGAACAGAGGCAGCCCAAGTGCTAATGTCCACATCAAGGTGGATCTCATTCTCTATGGCTAAAAAATAAAGAAACCATTTCCCAACCTCCCTTCCTGATAGTGGTAGCCAGTGACGTGTAAGATTTTTTTTTTTTTAATAACATAGGACTTCTAAAAATCTCTTCAGAGGGGGCCTACTCAGATGGCAGGAACACTTTTGCTCTTTGCTTCTTTTCTTCTTTCTGCTTGGAATGCAGAAGCAATGACTGGGGTGTCAGCAGCCTACTGATCACAAGGCAAGTGCTAAAAGGGTTTTCAGAGACTCAGTCCTTGAGCCAGTAATCCAATGATGGCAACCACTGACCTCCAGACTTCTTGTTTATGAGGAAAATAAACTCATGTACATTTTTTAGCTATAATTATCAAAATGCAATACCTAACCAAAATATCCCCCAAAATGTATTTCTCTTTTTTATCAACAAATATTTGCACACCTGCCTGGTCAGCCACTTGCCCCTGGCCACTTGGAGGTCCTAAGTCTGGTCATCATTGGCCATCACTTAGATTTGTGCAAAATGTCCAAACTGTCTTCAAGGTCCCTGCTACTCAAAGTGTAGTCTGTGGACCAGCAGCATTAGCATCACCTGGGAACTTGTTAGAAACACAGAATCTTTGGCTCCATGTCAGACCTACTGAATCAGAATCTGCATTTTAACTGGGTCTCCAGAGATTTCTGTGCATGTTAAAGTCTGAGGCTCTGGACTAGATTTCCAGGCTATGCTCAGTCAGTTCTCTTAAACACTACTGCCAAAATCATCTTCCCAAAGCACAGCTCAAATCATGTCACTCTCCTCAAAAACCTTCAGAGGCTCCTGCCTACAGACTAAAGTTCAGACTCCTCACCCTAACCATCAAGGCCTTGTATGATCCCGTGCTATGCTGGAAATGCCCCTCAGAGTGCCTGCCATGCACGTAGTAGGTAGGCAATAATAAGGTTCTGCATTAAAAACAAAAAAATTAGTGTACCTGAGAAACAACAGAGTCCCTAAATCTGGCTTTGCTATGTTAGGCATTTCAGATACAGTGGTGCAGAAAACAGACATGGTCCCTCGCCTTCACGGAGCATAGAGACTAGTTGGAAGGACAAGATTTTAAAAAGAAATAAAAATATGTAATGGTAAATTATAAGTGCTAGAAGGAAATGAATGGGCAGTGATACAGAGTAAGAATGACAGGTCAAAAGGATGCCCCAAAGGATGGGGAGCCCTCTGTGGGGCTGGACCAGGCAGAGAGAACAGCATGTGCAAAGCCTCGAGAGAATTCGGTGTGTCTGAGGACCAGAACATGGGCTGCCCTTTCAGGCTTACCCAGAAAATAGACACCCTGCGAGGAAGGGGTCATGGGGTTCATCTTCCAAGTCACTGAAGAGAAGGCTGAATTTCTTGTCCCTGACATATGTCTTCACTGGGACTTTGGGGTGGCCAGAGTCGCTGTGAGTCCAGCCCTGGAAATCAGACCCAGTGAAATTCCAACGCCAGCCCCGCCACTTACCGGCTCTCAACTCCCTTGACCTCCAAGCCTCTGCTTCCTCAGGTACAAGTGGGGTTGAGAACAGGACCAACTTCGTAGTTATTGTGACCGTTGAGAGGGAGCTAATACTTGTAAAGCTCCCCAGAAGACGGCCACCCCCATCAGCGCTCCCTGAACATTAGCGATTCCATGATGAGGAGGATGGTGATTACTACTGTTAACTATTACTAGCTTGCGGGCAGAAGGCTCATCCCAGATATTCCTGTCCCCCCGGAGGCCTCCCGACCCTGCCATCCCAAGCATCCTCCCGTCCGCGCACGGCCACCGTGACCCGAGGGCGGGCGCCGGACGCCGCCGCCGGACCCCCGTTACCTGGGGCCAAACGCGACTTGTCGCCACCTTGCGTCCTGGGCCCTGCCTCCCTTCCGGCCCCGCAGCTGCCGCGGCGGCGCCCCCAGCCCGGCCCAGCCCGGGCGGCGCGGGCGGCCTCGGCGGAGCTGGCGGCCGCGGCCACGCTGCGCGCTCCGGCGGAGGGGAGGGGGCTCCGCGGCGGCGGCGGCGGCGGCAGCGGCAGCAGCGGCGGCGGCGGGCCCGGCGGGGGGCAGAGCCAGGAGGCGCGGCGGCAGCGGCGGCGGAGCAGAAGGAGGAGGATGCGGGGGGCTGCGGGCGGCGGCGCGGCCCTGTCCGCAGTGAAGCCCGCGGCGCCCGCGGCGCAGGGAGTGGCCGTCGCCTCCTGCGCGCATCATTCCTGAGATGGCGGCGGCGCGGCGGCGGCGCGGGGAGCCGAGGAGGGGTCAGCCGGGCGCGGGCTGAGCGCCGGCGGCCCGGGAGCTCGCCCAGGGCCCGCGCGGCGCCGGAACCCGGCCGGGCGGCTTGCGGAGCGGCGAGGCCGGGAGCGGCCCGGGAGCGGCGCGCACGGCCCTGGGAGGCCGCGATGGCGAACGCGAGCGAGCCGGGCGGCGGCGGCGGCGGCGAGGCGGCCGCGCTGGGCCTCAAGCTGGCCACGCTCAGCCTGCTGCTGTGCGTGAGCCTGGCGGGCAACGTGCTGTTCGCGCTGCTCATCGTGCGGGAGCGCAGCCTGCACCGCGCCCCGTACTACCTGCTGCTCGACCTGTGCCTGGCCGACGGACTGCGCGCGCTCGCCTGCCTCCCGGCCGTCATGCTGGCGGCGCGGCGCGCGGCGGCCGCCACGGGGGCGCCGCCGGGCGCGCTCGGCTGCAAGCTGCTCGCCTTCCTGGCCGCGCTCTTCTGCTTCCACGCCGCCTTCCTGCTGCTCGGCGTGGGCGTCACCCGCTACCTGGCCATCGCGCACCACCGCTTCTACGCCGAGCGCCTGGCCGGCTGGCCGTGCGCCGCCATGCTGGTGTGCGCCGCCTGGGCGCTGGCGCTGGCCGCGGCCTTCCCGCCCGTGCTGGACGGCGGCGGCGGCGGCGACGACGAGGAGGCGCCGTGCGCCCTGGAGCAGCGGCCCGACGGCGCCCCGGGGGCTCTGGGCTTCCTGCTGCTGCTGGCCGTGGTGGTGGGCGCCACGCACCTCGTCTACCTCCGCCTGCTCTTCTTCATCCACGACCGCCGCAAGATGCGGCCCGCGCGCCTCGTGCCCGCCGTCAGCCACGACTGGACCTTCCACGGCCCCGGCGCCACCGGCCAGGCGGCCGCCAACTGGACGGCGGGCTTCGGCCGCGGGCCCACGCCGCCCGCGCTCGTGGGCATCCGGCCGGCGGGGCCCGGCCGCGGCGCGCGCCGCCTCCTCGTGCTGGAGGAGTTCAAGACGGAGAAGAGGCTGTGCAAGATGTTCTACGCCGTCACGCTGCTCTTCCTGCTGCTCTGGGGGCCCTACGTCGTGGCCAGTTACCTGCGGGTCCTGGTGCGGCCCGGCGCGGTCCCCCAGGCCTACCTGACGGCCTCCGTGTGGCTGACCTTCGCGCAGGCCGGCATCAACCCTGTCGTGTGCTTCCTCTTCAACAGGGAGCTGAGGGACTGCTTCCGGGCCCAGTTCCCCTGCTGCCAGAGCCCCCAGACCAGCCAGGCCCCCCTCCCCTGCGACTTGAAAGGCATCGGGCTATGAAGGGCTCTCCCACCATGTGCGCCCCAACCCGGCCTTTCCCATTGGCTTGGACGGTGACGTCGTTTCTCCCCTTCTGCCCCCTTTTTAATTTTTTAAGCTGCCTTCAAAATGACTCTCCAAAAGGATAAACCCTTGGATGGTACAGACTCCTTTTTTGCGGGAAGGGGTGGGTTTCCGTGTTCCAGCCCCACCCCTCCTCCCCGCATTGGTCTCCTGAATATATTTTCATCCTGACAATAGGCCCTGGCGTCTTTGTACTGGTACTGACGTCTTTTACTCCGTGTGTTCTTCTTTTTTCTTTTCTTTTCTTTCTTTTTTTTTTTTTTAAATAAAGGCTAAACTAATTTTCTTCATGCAACGTTTCCTAAAGACCATGGCCAGTTTTCTACAGAAGCTATTTTTGACAACCTCAAGTGGCATTACATTGTGCAGTGAAGGAGAGGAACCTAGGGGACTTCACAAGTTCGATTTCTTGAGGGTCTTCTGTTGGAAGCAGGGGACTGGGGGCAAGATTGTCTTCAGTTCCCTTTGGATTGCCAGCCGTGGGCTCACTTGGGCTGCTCTGGTTCTTGAAAGTGTTGAGAACTTTGTTCAGGGTCGATCCCGAATTTGAAGAGCAGAAATGGGAGCGAGAAGCAAGGCAGTCGTTTCTTAAGCAGTAACAAGTAACAAGATGTGTTTCCCACGTTACTTTATACCGCTAGAAAATACACGTCAGCGACAGCTGCTCTCTGTATTATACCAATCTTGCGTGGAAACATTTCTGTAAAATTGTGACTTTCAAAAGAGTGAAGTGTTTTGGTTCGTAACGGTGTGGAGAAAGTACGGTATTGCATGTTTTTGTAAGTGCTGATTGTGGTTCCTGGACAGGGAGGGTTCCGAGAAGCAGAGTGCTAAATCAAAACTTTAGGTATTTTTTGCCAATAAAAATTAAAATAATTTTATGGAAGCAGCTTGTGCTTTTTGAGGAGCCCGGTTTTATTCTGTTTTATGAAACTGATTTCCACTTTGAAAATTGTTCTTCTCTTGTTCATGGTATAAATGAATGGAATATAATGATACTCTACTTCTAGGAGATAAAGCATTTCCTTAAAATGTTTGCTAGGTTAAGCTGTGCTGTTCTACTGACGGTTATTAAAAATTAATAATGAGAACTATAATTTCGAATAATCTTTGTTAGACGCGTAACCTTAAATTGAACAACTAAATTCTGCAAGTACTGTATATTTTTTGCTTATAATGCTACATTTTTATTAATGTACCTTCCGTTTTGAGGATTTATATCTGTATTTCTCTTTGCATTATACAAATATACCAGTATTTTCATTCTGGAGTGGTTTTTTGTTGCTGCTGTTGTTTGAGGCTGTGACTAGAGTTAATACGCATCTAGGTGTGGTACTCATGTTCTATTAGCCTTTGGTGCATGCTGTTTAGTTTGGTTGACCATCAGCATATCTAAGACATTCAGAGGCTTGTTAACTTAAAATGGAAGATAAAAATCTGCAAATCTTCTCCTTAAAGGGAAAAAGCAGTAGACATGTATACTGCTTTAAAACTGTTTTTTATGAACATACCAAAAAAATGTGAACAAAGTAATCATTTTGATAAAAATAATACTTAAAAATGGGTGCAGTAAATTTATTGAAGCTTATTTTAGTTGAGCATAATATAAACTATTAAATGTTCAGTCCACTAAGTTCAGTCTTATTATGGTAAGTCATAATAAGAGGATGTGGCCAGTTTAATTTATCTCTGGTAAGTGGTCTGCATTGTTTTATTTTGTCTGTAGAAGTCAATGAGTCTGGGCAGACAGTCTCATATTTGGAAAATATGAGTAATTATTACCCTATTTCTCTCCAGGTCATGAGATTATCCAAGGGCCCCTCATCAGAAATCTCAGCTAACCTAAAGACAAGAGAGGACCAGGAAGTAAACCTCTCTTCACCGAATCCCCCACCCACCCAAGTGATGCAAGTTCAAAAAATAGAAGTCACTAAGCCCATGTGATATTCAGACTATTTAGCACCTGGCCTGACACAGGACCCCAGCCATCACGGCCAACTCCTGAATAACTCAAGCCTTAGGCGGCAGCTCGACTGCACAGAGACAACCCTTTGGCTCTATATGGCCTTGAGTTCATGGATGTTTTTTCATAGGAGAATCCATAAGCCAGTGATTCTCAAATTTTTACATTTATAAGAACGACTTTAAGTGCTTGCAGGGTCCAGAGATTCGTATTAGGAGGGACTGAGGTGGGACGGAGGAAAGAGCATTTTGAACAAGTTCCCCAGACGGTTGGAGGCATACCTCCAGGCCTCCATTCAGACGTGGTTTACTTTACACACCTTGTGTACAAACTGGGTTGTCTGGTTTGGGTTTGTTTTTGTTTTATTCTGATGGGTGATTTCTAATGAGAGTTCAAGTGAGGAGTAATGAGAAATGACAGCCGACTGTAAAGGAAAAAGGAGGAAGAACCAAGAGAGGCGGAGAAACAAGCCATGTAGGGGCAAAAAGCCCCTCACACCTCCACAGCCTTTTGGATCAATGAATCTGTTAGCATGTACTTTGATTGTTAATTGTGTTAATAAAAAGTCATCAGGAAAAGGTTAGTTGTGTTTCAGAATATTCTACTCGTTGTACCAGGACAGGTACAGTATATACAGTGTATTTGGGGAAGACTTCCCTTAAAATAGCTCATTTTCTTTACTTGGGGAGTTAATTTAGCACGCCTCCCCCTGCCCTCCAGGGGAGAGTTGTCACTGTCCTTGAAGCAATGAAAACAGATTTCTTGTATATAAATCTTTGTCTGCATGTCCCAGCATGGAATTATTGGGTCAAAAATGAGCATTTTTAGGTCTTTTGATAAATAGCTTTGAAGAAAGACGATATCTATTTACATTTCCAAGTGAAGTGTCTGTTCATCTTTAAAAAAATGAACCATCTCCAGCAAAGTGAGGAATCATATAGCACATCAATAACCATAGTGATACATCATAATCTCTGCCCATCATTCAGCCTCACCAGATCTTGTCAGTTTTGCCATATTGGTTTCTACTTTCCCTTTTCTCCTCTTTCCCTTTCTTTTTTCTTTTCTTCCTTTCCTTCCTCCCTCTCTCCCTCCCTCCCTTTCCTTTCTTCTTTTCCTTCTTTTATCTTTGTAAAATAAATAAAACACAGGAGCCGGCCCAGTGGCATAGTGGTTAAGTTCACGTGCTCTGCTTTGGCGGCCCGGGGTTTGCAGGTGTGGATCCCGGTGCAGACATACACACTGCTCATCTAGCCATGCTGTGGTGGTGTCCCACATACAAAATAGAGGATGATGGGCACAGATGTTATATCAGCGACAATCTTCCTCACCAAAAGTAAAATAAATAAAACATGACAATTATTTCCACCATCTTTGGTCTCACCATCAGCCATTTACATTCTCAAATGCCCTGTCCTCTAAGAGGTAAGAGGGTCCTGGGTCCTAGGGCTGAGCCAGAGTTCAGTTTTGCAAGTGGGTCGTTGAGTTGGTGGGATTGGGTCTACCCTTCACTGTCTTTCCAAGGCCCACTGGATCAAGTGCAAGCTTCTTTGCCTGCCACAGAAGGCCCTTCATGGTCTGGCCCCTCCATCACCCTGGCCTCATCCTCCCATCATATTTCCATCTCTCCCTTCTCTGATTACCTTTGTATAAGCTCTCCCTGGAAAGCTTCACAATGCTTAGCAATAGGATGGCATGGGCTTAACTAACCTGTACAACTGTAGCCCTGGGTCCTAGTTGAACATCGGATCTGTGCTGGACCTGGATCCAAGACTTCTGGAAGCCCTTCTTGGTCCAATCGCCCCTCCTCTGTGCTCTCATGGTACATTGTATTCACCTCCATGAAGTCTGCACTCCTGGGCTTCATGCATGCCTTTGGCTCCTGCTTCCTCTCCAGTCTCACCTCCTCCCATTCCCTTCTAAGGACCTGTACTCCAGCCACTCCAAGTCATTGGCAGTGCCCTGAACATATCAGACAGTGTCACACCAACATGCCTTTGTGTGTATTGCTCCTTGTGTCCAAAGTCCTCACTCCCTCTTTCTCCAACTCAACTGCTGTTAAGCTATCAGACATAAGAAGTGAACTCCTAGACAGAAAGGGTGGACTAGCCTCTACCGAGAGGAGGAGAATGTCCTGTGCAGGCCCTGTAAAATTTCAAGGCTCCAAACTCAGTCATTAGGTCCGAGTGCCATGGCCCTCTAAGTAGCAGACTCATTGTCTTACTGCATTTTAAGTTGTCTGAGCACTGAGGCAGCTGGGGTTATAAAATCTAGCAGACCCCAAATACTGTTCTCCATTCACCAGGCAGATGTGTCACTCTGTGTGACCTGCCAAGACCACTGAACTTCAGGACCCCCTCTGTGAGGGGCAAAGGAAGTAATGGAAAACTGTCTCCACCCACCCATCTTCTAGACTGATATCAACATCCTCTGCACTGTTTATTAGCTGCTTCTGGAGTACACGGAGCTAAAAGCAAATTTGATCTGAGTCCAAGGGCTTCCTTATGCTCTTTCTCCAACTTGAACAAGATTTTTGGGGTCTAACCCAGCCCACGAAGAGAATGCTCTTGTCCTGTCTCTTCTTTCCTTTTGGGATGTTTTTGGTGATGTGTGGAGCCACAGCAGCCATCTTCCAACCATGAGAAGAGATACTGTCAACACAGTGACGATAGCAGACCAGAAAGATAAAGAGTAGGCATCTGTTTTAACCTTGCTGAGCAGCTTAACCAAAAAAGCAGCTTCATATCTCTAGACTTCTGGTCTTGAAATAAAAACTACTATTGCTTCAGGCACTAATATTCAACAATTAACTGCTACAACACTTAAAACTGCTCCGTCTCCTCCACTCCTTTGACAGGTATGCTTAATATCCTGAAATGTATTCACAAATTTTTTAAAACTTAAGACTTATTTAATTCACTTTTTCCAACTATCAGATCATTCAGCCTGCTGTTAACTGTTAAATGAACCCAGCTCTGGAAATATGGTAAGATAGACTTGATTTGACTTCTTAGATTGAAATAAATTTACAAGATTAGCAAGGTATCTATTACTAGGCTAGTTCTGTTTAAATGCACTTTATAAAACTGTTTTGATCAGTGTATCTTTAAGCTTTTTGATATCATAAATCTAGTTACGGGAATCCAGAAGACCACCTGAATGAATCCATGTAATCGATAGTATTGTAAGCTAAAAAGAAGCCAGTTTCTGTGCTGGGCAGTGCATGGGGACACAGGGATTAGCAAGGTCCAGTTCTCTTGCTAATGAGTTAGCAAGCTAATCAGAGCAACTTGGCAAACGTGCCCCAAAGCATAAATCAAGGCAGAACATGACAGATGCCAAAAGAGGGATCTAGATAAAGAGCTTGGGGATAATAATTGTTTGCAAAGGGCCCTAGGCATTCTATCTCTGGTTACCCAACTGAGGAAACAGGAGAAACCAGAAGACCGGAACAAAAATTGTCCACGTTCCATATTCTCCCTCCTCCTAGGTTCTTACATTTCTTTCTGATGCCTGTGTTCTCCTCACTCTGGAGTCCATTTTTAAAATAAATTCCTCTAAGTGAAATAAAACCACATAAATTCTCTCTTCAAAGTTTTCTGTTGCGATTCTATCAGAAAGTTCGAGTGCCAGTAAGGCCTGTGGTCATTTGAATGGAGGAAGTTTGTTACATAAAATCTTGTTGCAAGGAGAGCCAGCAAAGACGCTATTGATTAGAAATACGCCAGAACTGAATCAAAATCAAACAGGCAGCCCTCAAGACCACTGTACTCCCCTCCCAATGGAAGGGGGAGTAGCAGTTTACATTACAAAAAAGGGTATTTTGTGCTTTTAGTCAAGGGAAAAGAGGAGGAAAAGCTTGAGTAGGTACTCAACCCACTCTGTCTCCTGGTTGCAGGCATTGAAGAAAAATAAACAGGTTGAAATTTATATCTGAAAGCCTGAAGTCTTGAAGTCACTTCAAATTACACAGAGCAAACACACAAAATGTTTTAAATTGCAATGTCAAGGCGTAAATGCAATACTCTTATTTCTCCGTAACATTAAGGAGACAGGTAAATTAAAGCTATTATTGCTTGGCTTCTAGGAGGAATAATTTAGTCATTTATAAATTAAGTTTCTAAGTGGCCAGCCTTCTCTAGGTAGAGAACATGTAAACTGTTGGAAAAGTGTATATTTAAAAATTTCTCTGATACATTTATATTACCTGAATTATGCCAGTCTGCATTGCTTTCTAGGATGGAAGTCTTATTTTCTGCCAAGATGTGATATCTGAGCAGCACACATTGCCTTTTAGTTAGAATCTG